GAGGAGCACTCGAGTTTCATTCCATCATGGAAGCTGATTGGCCAAGGAGAAACAAAAGTCATTACATCGGAGACAAGCGACAGCCGGAAATACGTGTGCGTTCGCAGGCTATTTTCACAGTTCCAGAATCTATTGCTGTACATTAATCGAATTCAACAAGCTCTTCATTGTCAAAGGCACGTGATGTGAGGGTTGATAGTTTAAAATTATTTAACAACATATTGTCCATCAGTTTCCGAAGCATGTGCTGAACAGCGTGGTCTCAAATGAAGCCAGTCTTGGTTTAATTCGTCTGTTTTTTTGTCGCTGGTTTCCTCGTAGAAGTTTGCGAAATTTCTGTAGTAAGCCATAACTGATGAAAATAGAAATCTCGAGCTCATAATTTAATTATTAAATAAAGCATGCAAGGAAGTGATGGGAACAATCTAGAAGTGTAGAAGGAAACACGAGCGAAGAGCGAGTGCTTTTCCCTGCTTCTTTAGTGTTCTCGTCACGTGACAACAAGGCCACGGTCAAGGCTTTCATATTTGCTAAGTACACAGATTAAAATAGAGCTTTACTTTTTCTGAGAGACTGGCTTTAACAAAGTTTTACTTTTAGATTGCACGCGTAAAATGGTTTTGTTAAGGAGCTTACGCGATTGTATCAACTCAGTGTTTGCCAGGTTTCTAAATTATTTGTTTTAAAGAGCGTCTGAATTGGTCTTTGTTTAAAACACACACCACCTGAGGTCTTCTTGTTCATTTGAGGCAAACCTGTATTGTTTTCAATTCAGTTGCGAAATTTTAGTTAAGTTTAATTTGCGAGAGAAGTGAGTTCTGCTGCACGTACACAGAAATGAAAAGACTCGGATGGTCTCGTGAGCTTTTCCATAGTTAATAAAGGGGAATAGTTATGAAGCCCGACAAACATACACTATGCATGAGTTACGCAAAAAAACATTTCTGTTGGTTAGCTCCTCGGTCAGAAGTAAATAGTAGTAGTAACTATTGTGTTCTTTATGCACGGTCAAGGTCAAAAAAGAGAACAAAAGCATACAACAAAGAACTTTGGGGAGGTTCATAACTATTCTCCTCTATTAACTTCTATGGCTTTTCTCATGATTCGTGAACTGCGAGCTTTGTACTTTTGCAAGCACGTTTTGTTTAAATCAATGAGAGCGCTTGTTATATGGCACTTTATTATAACAAGCGGTATTCTTTTCTGAACCAATACATAGTATCCCG